TTTTGCCGCATTTCGTGTTTTCCCACGGTCGGCAGTTAAAACGTTCCTATCCTGAATGCGATTCTTCCGTGTTCAGCAGAGGGAGGTTTAGCCTCACCTAAATGTGGCAGCTCCTAAACTCTGCTAAAAGCCTATGTGTACATGGACACAGACTTTTATGGAGTTGAGTTTAGGAGCTTTGGCAAAAAAAGGCCAAAAGCTACTAAACTCGAGTTTAGGAGTTGCTCGTGTACATGAAGCTTAAAAGTTGGATACACATTAGATCTCATTAAGATCTCATTAAGTGACCAGAGGACTTTTAAGGAGTCTGCATTCACTATGCACATGGACATCTTTAATAGAAAAGCCTGCTTCTGCATTGCAAGTAGTGAATAGTCCCCTGGACCACTTTTATCAGTTCACTAATACATTGATCAAATAAAGCTAGTAGTAATAAACCACTATGCACTGTAGAGATGATAACTCACAGAATCATTAGCAACAATAGAAATCTCCTTCACTCTATCCAAAAAAAAAAGTTTGGGCTGGAGTTAGGCTTTGGCACAAACAACACTACTGACTTGCAATATTTATAGGGACCATGACTCATAGAAAATGTGTTTGTAGCAGTAGTGTACCAAGTAAAAAATGCATGACAGTGGTTGTTACAGGCCTCGCTTACAAATGACTAGACTATGAACACAAAGGTATTATTTTTATTTTAAGTTCTGTCTGTTCTGTTTAAGTTCTGTTTAAAGCAAGTCACTCGTGCAAAAATTAAAAGTCAGCAGCTACAAAAACAGTCCCTGGAGCCAGCATATTAAAGTGTTACAAAACCCACAACAGTAAAATCAGTGTGTATATGCAGTAAAGCATGCTTGTTTTACTCACTGTGGAACCTAAGGGGTTAATCCTCTGCATTGTGTTAAAACGCTGTTTAATCCTGACTTCTATGATCCTCCCCTTTCCTCCAGTGCCCCCCTCTTATCTCCTAATAAGACATATCGTGTGAAGACACTCTGCACATACTCAGTTTGGTGTGTATTGCTAGAGATATTTTTTTTCTTGGGAGAGTGCATGTAATCAGCACAGGGCCAATCAGCACTGTCCAGACAGAGGTCAGGGGTTCTGCATTCTCCTATAGCAGAAAGAAAACTCCTCCTTCAAGCTTTAACCAGTGCTCTGCTGGACAATGATTGAAGTCACAAAGCTGCTCTAACTGCTAATGAGAAAAGGTATTTAGCAGTTTATATTTACTAAAATAATTGCAATTCCATTCTCTGTTTACTGTGGGAGACCAGATATAGTGAATGCAGGGTCCTGGGTTTAGTAGCACTTTAACTGTGCGCATTCGGCTGTGATTCCTTGTGGCTTCTAAGCTGACTTCCAATTGCACATGCACAAGCTGTGCTCCACTTTATGATTGTTTGCGCAGTCTTTTGGTACTTGTGACCTGCCCCAGACAATGGTGGAAGGGAACATCCACTTGGATCTCCTAAGCAATCTGAGCAGAATTGAGAGCGGGCAAAGTTCCACTTTAAAACAGAGCTCAACCCAAAAGGGGAAGTTCCACTTTAAGCCTTTGTCCCCTGCTCCCCATTAAGTAATGGGGAGCAGGTACCAGAATTTGACAGGTACCTGCTCCCACTTCCGCTGTGATCGCCTAGGCGATCAGAAGCGGAAGTTGTCCTCCCCCCTTCCTCCCCGTAGTCTTCTGACAGGTCCCAGAAGATGACGGGGCCATTCACAAAGTGCAGCGGGCGCCCGGCTGTGAAGCCACAAGCTGTCACAGTCGGGTACCCACACTGAAGATGCTGGCACCTGGAAGAGAAGAAGGCCAGTGAAACCAGTGGTGGTGAGGACACCACTGGACCGAGGGACAGGCAAGTAATACAAGTCTGTATTTTAAATGTCAGCAGCTACAGTGTTTTTTTTCAGGTGGAACTCCGCTTTAAGTTTTGTCAAGCTTCACATCCTGTCTGGTGTGAACATATATCGGAAATGGCATTATTAATAACCTTTCACTTTAGATTATAAAATCACCAAACTCGTTCCTACCAATGTCTTATCTTTATGGTATATCCTGGTTGCAACACTTCTATTTTGGACGGCATATCCTGGTATATCTTGGTTGCAACCCTTCTATTTTGGATGGCATATCCTGGTATATCTTGGTTGCAACCCTTCTATTTTGGATGGCATATCCTGGTATATCCTGGTTGCAACCCTACTATTTTGGATGGCATATCCTGGTTACAACCCTTCTATTTTGGATGGCATATCCTGGTATATCCTGGTTGCAACCCTTCTATTTTGGTTGGCATATCCTGGTATATCTTGGTTACAACCCTTCTATTTTGGGTGGCATATCCTGGTATATCTTGGTTACAACCCTTCTATTTTGGATGGCATATCCTGGTATATCTTGGTTACAACCCTTCTATTTTGGGTGGCATATCCTGGTATATCTTGGTTACAACCCTTCTATTTTGGGTGGCATATCCTGGTATATCTTGGTTACAACCCTTCTATTTTGGGTGGCATATCCTGGTATATCTTGGTTACAACCCTTCTATTTTGGATGGCATATCCTGGTATATCTTGGCTACAACCCTTCTAATTTGGGTGGCATATCCTGGTATATCTTGGTTACAACCCTTCTATTTTGGATGGCATATCCTGGTTTATCTTGGTTACCACCCTTCTATTTTGGGTGGCATATCCTGGTATATCTTGGTTACAACCCTTCTATTTTGGATGGCATATCCTGGTATATTTTGGTTACAACCCTTCTATTTTGGATGGCATATCCTGGTATATCTTGGTTACCATCCTTCTATTTTGGATGGCATATCCTGGTATATCTTGGTTACAACCCTTCTATTTTGGATGGCATATCCTGGTTACAACCCTTCTATTTTGGATGGCATATCCTGGTTACAACCCTTCTATTTTGGATGGCATATCCTGGTATGTCCTGGTTGCAACCCTTCTCTTTTGGATGGCAGTTTGTAGAAACACAATCCTTTACAGTGTATTGTGTTGCTACAAACCCTCTATTTGTCATAATCCAGTTACTAGTAACTATGAAGGACAGCACTTTTAATGCAACATTATTGCAATAGTCATAAAAGTCAATAGCTTTTCAAAAATGCATAAATATATTTCTGTCAAAACACATATACAGCAACAGTATATTATTTAAAAAAAAAAGCTGTATCTTTTATTTCTAAAAAGCAGTTCTTGAACTCTAGACATCTAACTGATGGACTGAGATGATGTCATCAGTCTGCTGCATGCACGAGGAAGCATTTTCACAGTAAGACACCCTCCAAGCGACCAGACTGTAGCAATGTAACCTAGTAAGCAGTCACAGATTTGTGAACCAAGAACTGCAAAAGCACCTGAATTTACATGACTGCCATCTCTGATCTGGCCTCTTGGTCCAGAAAGTAGATGATAACCTTGGATGATGCCTGGACAAAGTTGGCTCTGTCCTTCCAGAGAGAAAAGTAGGTTGTTTGAGGGTGTCTGTAACCTCTGTAAGATGCAGTAAACCCCTGTAGGTGTTACACATTACTTGTCAAGCACTTAACATCGAAAGTCTCCCTGACGTTAGATCCATTTTAACCTCTTACCTGGATTAATATTCTTAGCAAGCATTTATCCTGATTAATATTGTTACAATCCTCTTACTTGTGATGCATCTCTCTGTACTGCTAGCATTCCAGCTTTCCAGATTTCCTTCATACAGGTTTAGATTATGTGCCAGATATTTCTCTTTATTTTAGAAACATCACTCCAATGAACTTCTTAACTGGCCTAGGGTTGTGATCAATCCATTATTTTAGAAAAAAAAAAGCCAGAACAATAATCGTGAAATAACAGCGCTGGAGCTGAGAGTACCTACCCTAAAATACATGGCTTGTTGACAGTTATTATATTAATTTAGCATTAGCTGGGGGCACCAAATACCACCTTGCCATCTCTGATGTACAACATCACAACAGTAGCTGGCGGCCCATGTCAGCCCTCATCAACCTTTATGTCGCACCTGCTGTCTAGACATCATTATCCAACAGCAAGAACATGACATTATGAATGTACCGAGTGCTTGGTACATTTTCTCCATCCTTCAAATACAACAATTTTGTGTTTTATAGTTGGCTCAGTCAACCTACATGTGGTTCAATAGCAGCAATCAACCAGGGACCCATGTCATTCGCTAGGAACATCTATATCATGCTACAGCCTCAAGTCACCTAGAGATATTAAGTCACCCCGAGCAGACATCTTCCAGGAGAAACACGACACATACTCTTACCCAACTCACAGACACAAGCACTTGTCTTGTGCGTTTAATAGGGAAGCATTTATGTTCAATGGCTGTTTTTTTACTATATAGTATCATTATATGAATAAAGATTTAATTTTTGCATGAAATGGGTGAGGCAACCCAAAACTAATATTTTATCTATGTTGATTGGCTGAATTGTACACTGTCTTAGAGGGTTTCAAGAGGGTCTCCTGTGAATGTCACTGCCAGATTTTTTGTCACACATCTCCATCTCATTCCTGTTTGTATAGCATGCAGAGTCTCAATCATCTTGCAGCAGAAACCTTTTGAACATTTAGGGCCACTTAAGTTATTTGGTAACTGGTTGCGGGCCACAATGAAATAAAATGGTTTAGAATTTAAAATTTTTTATTTTGAATATCATAATGAACATTTTCCTCCTGCAGTTGCTGAATGCTGGTGGGAGTGAGAGGAGGAGAAGCCTGCTTTCAGCAGGAGGAAAATGGAGAGGATCAGGTCCTGCATACGCCGCCCATACTGCCCTTCCTGTCCAAGTGTAAAACAGAATGTGACAGGGAGGCCACTCGGGCCTGCTGAAGAATGGGGCTTGATCAGCATTGTGACCCCTACCTTTACCCCCCCAAACTGCAAATGTAAATGAGCCATTACTGTCCTGAGCCGCCTATAAGGCTGCTTTCACACTAATGCGTTGCAGTTTACCTGCACCATGGATGCTGCACAGTGTACCTGCGGCTTTCTTGTGGGTTAGTTGCGCTTTGCCATAGACTTCTATTATATCTTGCAGGTGTAGTGCACTTTCAGAAAGCTCACCAAACACTCACAATCAGGGGCGGACTGACCATTTGGAAACTCGGGCACTGCCTGAGGGCCTGGGGTCAGTAGGTGGCCCCATGAGATGCCCCTGGTACCTTTTTCATAGGCTTTTTTGTGTTTGGGCAAGGACACAGGGGCCCCATGATCCCCTATTGCCCAGGGGCCCCATGAGTTGTCAGTCTGCCCCTGCTCACAATATATTAGAAGTCTATGGCTCAGTACAGCTAACCTACAGGAAAGTCATACAGTAGGTGCACTTCACTGCACCTGGGGATCACTGTGAAAGCAGCCCAATAGTTGTTAACCCTTTTATAGTTGGCAATATGCCCATTGCAAAAGCACAGAGTATGTGTTGCTTAATACACTGACATTCTTTCCCTCTTCCAGCTCCTGCTGGCATCACTCTCTGTCTCCAGGCTTCTAGAAAGGTCACAGGTGAAATGCACTTGGTATCACTCTGTCTGGGACAGGATCCGGCGCTACAGAGGAAGCATCAACTTATGCAGCTCCTGCTCTTTCAGCTCCCGGCTCGATGCACTCTGATTCTCTGGGATGATGGGTCGGCAAGCCTAAATCACAATCAAGGGCTTTCGCTTTCCTGGTTTGAGGTTTCAGGCCACATCAGAGGGCTCCACAGGCCACAGGTTGAGCACTCCTGTCTTACAGCATTCTTCTAACTAAAATGTTTGTTTTTTGTGCCTTCGTTGGAGAGATTCTGCTCTTTTCCTGTCCCGATAACGCAACAAAAAAGTAGTTAAAATACAGTATGGACATAAACAGCAAAAAAAAAAAAAAAAACCTGAGAGAAGTTCATACACTTCCCCAGGTTATTAAAACCCTTTATGGCAAAGAGGGCAGCTCTTACTTTAGGCAAAAGTCATAGGTGGATCAGCTGGATTTAACCCAGAAATTTAAGTGCATAATTTTGGCAAAGATGACTTGTATTTTATCACTAAAACTGTTGCTGATTATTAATTACAGTTGGATTGTTTAGCTGAAATAAATTAGCTCATTGTTTTTATGATTATTGTTGGTAGTAGGATTATGGCTGACCTTGAAGTTTATAGATATCATTAGGGTAAAGTTTTAAGCTACGAGGTCGTGGTTCAGGGGTAGGTTTGAGGGCTCTGTACAGAAAAAGGTTATATTTATAGGGAAAATTGAGGTTAAAATTTAATTTTTTTTATTTAGTGGAGTTACAGGTAGTATGCTGCAATGCCCTTCTTCATCCTTACTGGTAAATCACCAACACTCCCCCCTTCCCACAGAATCTTTGCTGTGCTCACAGCCTCTTTATAAAATGTGGATCATGTTCCTTCTGCGTATGTACCCCGCATTCTCTAATCGTTCCAACTCAGAGTTTTTATTCTGCTTATAAAAACTCCCCATGGTAATGCAGTCCATTTCTGAGAAAGGAGCAAGAAGTACAAGCAAGGATTTTGAAGAAGAGGTATAACACTTTAAGCCACCGGTTGAGGTTAAGGCTAAATATTGTACTATTTATTATAGTTTTAGGTGTAGTGGAGGAGTCTCCAAATATCAAATATGCTATAAGCATCAGTGGGAAATAATCAGAGACAACAGAAATTCACTTATGTTAACCAACAGGTGCAGTAAATTCATTCTCCTGCACCAAAATAACCAAGTAAAGTTTTAAAGTCCAAAACAACATGTTGATATAAGCAGCCTATTAATGGTGTTACAAGATAAGATTTATGACATTTACTGGTCCTTTAAGAAGCCAGCTGATAGATCTTAAAATTATAATTGTCATGTCCTTGTACTATGACCCAAGTTCATTCAATAAAACACTAAAGACAGAAGGTCAATATATCATTACTGGCACACTATATGGAGTTGTGGCGATATTGTGTTCTTGAAGAATACCTTTATTGCCAGCCTTCATTGTCATTGTCCTTTCTCCTACAATAGATTGATTCCCCAGAGCACAAGTTATATGCTTCTTAGGTATCCCATATAGAGCTCCGCTAATCCCTCAAAAATTATGTTGGCGGTTGGCCTTTTTAGGAAGAACAAATCTTTTCAGTGATTGAAATAGTTTTGTTTGTAGGTTTCTAAGATGTTCCCAAGCAAGGTTAAGGGCAAGTTCAACCTTTGTTGCCTTACTTAATCGATAAATCCCAGTAGAAACACAGACAGATCATTGTTGACTGAGGTGCTGTGACAGTAATCAACACAAAACTGCTCATCTCCTATCATGAAATGTGCAGCAATTCTTGAGGGTAATTCAAGAAGTTCACCGTTTTCTGATCCTTGGTCACCACTGTAATTCAGCTCTCTTTCTTTCCACTTATTTTTTTTACACAGCCAATAGAAAGGCAGCAACGCTGACACATGACCTCTAATCAAAACTTCACAAAGCTGAAGTGAACTGAATTAAGAAACAATACTATTAGCACTTCTATCATAAAAAATACTTTACAAAATGAAAACATAATATCTTTTGGTGCAGTAGCTACTTTTGAAAAAAAAATTGCATTAACTAAATTTTTTAAATGTTTTCCACAGAGAAAGACAAAGGATTCCATGATGTGTAATGTATTTACTTTAAGTGCAGCATGTGCAAATCTTTCAAGACAACCTGTCTAAAAGCATTGCAATTCAAACTAAGCATATGATAAAAAAATACATAGGCAATGGTTACTTTCTTAAAAACAGAAAAAGTGCTATCTCCAATAAATGTGACCAAACAAACTCAATAAGATGTGGTGGATAAATAAATAATAAAAAAATGAATATGTGATAATTCATATATACAGTAAATCTCTCTAAATGATGCAGAATACATACATAGACATCATATATATCAACTTCTCGTGAATGAACCAAATGAATCAATGGTTAAACGAATTCATATAATTACATAAAATAAATAAGTGAAGCGTCCATTAAGTAGATAATCAGTGCAGTGATGTGTTGTGCGTGCCCAAGATACCCATGCAATATGTGTGATCCAATAATCCTTCACCATGTGTACTGAGGTTGGCAACTTACCAGTTGCCCATCATACCCAGGGTGTTCAATATTCACATAGCATCATCATATTGAACGTAATATTCTGATGATACAGAGAGGGGTATCAACCCCATACATGCTCAAAAAAGAAGAGAAAAGATCACTTCCATAGTGTGATATGTTTAATGGAATAAATATAAGTACAAAAAATATTGCACTTACATGGTATTGTGCCCCCCCCCCCCCCCCAGTCACCAAAATAAAGCACAGATTGGATAACAGACACTACACCCCGCTGTTTGCTGTATTATAGCCGATGTGCGTTCCACGAGTCGGAACCAATTACCAGAAGTGACTTTCTGATGACTTGATTCTGAAAAATATATTGAGGCCTAGCTGCTGTCGTCATTTTTGGTCCCTTCTACACATCACTTCCGGTGATTGGTTTCGACTCATGGAACGCACGCCACCTGTAATACAACCAACGATGGTGTGTAGTGTCTGTTATCTGATCTGTGTTTTATTTTGGTGCCTGGGGGGGGCACAATACCATGTAAATGCAATATTTTTGTGTACTTATATTTATTCCATTAAACATATCACACTATGGTAGTGATCTTTTCTCTTCTTTTTTAAGCATGTATGGGTTTGATAACCCTCTCTGTATTGTCAGAATATTGCAAGAACCTTTGCTGATTTTTCCATTACCCTTCAATATGATGATGCTATGTTAATATTGAATATGCTGGTTATGATGGGAATCTGGTAAGTTGCCAACCTCAGTACACGTGGTGAAAGATTATTGGATCACCCGTATTGCATGTGTTTCTTGGGCACATGCAAAAGGAGTTCTCTATCAACACATCACTGCACTGATTATCTACTTAATGGACACTTCACTTATTAATTTTATGTAATTATATGAATTAGTTTATTCATTTATTTATTTGGTTCATTCACGAGAAGTCAATATATATGATGTTTATGTATGTATTCTGCATCATTTAGAGATTATATGAATTTAGAGAGGTATATATGAATTATCATATTTTCATAATTTTTTATTATTTATTTATCCATATCTTATGGAGTTTGTGAGTGTATATTTATTGGAGATAGTGTTTTTTCTGTTTTTGATATTGATTTAAAGTGGTGCACACTTTGAAGAGTAGCTGTCTCCCTTTTTTAATACTTATTTTGGTTGGGATTGGTGCCCCTGTTTTTTTGTTTTTCAGTGGTTAATTTCTGTAAGATCTATTAAAGCAATGGTTTGAAAATTGGTGAGCTGCAGAATATTATGCATCATGGTAAGACAGGTGATGTGCCACAAGAACCAAGGGGCTCCACTTAGGGGGCACTAGCTCTGAAATTGCCCCCCACCCACCATGACAGAAATGAATATATAAAATATTTCTTGCTTTCATGCCACCTTCATTAGCTGGTCCACAGGACAGCCACCTGCAGCATCAGAAACAGCTCAAAGCACTGGTTGGCTAGCTAAAAAGCAATTTATTCAACTAGTAATAGAAGGAGACAGGTGCACCAGGCCAAGACAGTGTTCAGATTTGGCTACATATTGTGCGCAGGGGGGGGGGGGGGGGGGTTGTAGCATTTTAAAAACTTTATTTTGTAAAGGGAGATACCTTACAAAAGACAATACAGCAGATTCTCAGAAAATGGCAACTGGACTCCTCAGATTGACACTAGTTTGTATAATGTTACATGTCTTTCAAGATTAACTTTAGGTAATTTTGCACAAAATAAATAAATTAGCACAAGGGACAGCACTTACATTCAGCTAGAAGTGTCTGTTGTTTTGGTAGCTGCTATCTTAGTTGAAATCTGTAGTCCTCTGAGACCCACCTTATGCCCATATGCCCACAGCAATAATCTTCCAGTGTTGTGGGGCTTAATACAGCCATTGGACCTGTCGTAGGCACTCATCAAGAATGCCCAATGTGCCCACACTTTACACCCCTCTCCTCTATTCATATATAGCTTCAAAAATTTCAAGAGAGAAGCCACCAGCACAAGGGACACTTCTCACTAAATGTACTGTCCCTTGTACTGATATAAAAAAAAAAATCTGAAATTAGATTTAAATGTGATGGGCAACAGGAAGGCTCAGGAGACAGGAGGAGTGGGATCAAGTTTGGCTTTTGAGGGAAAAATCAATATTTGCATTTTACTTCATTGGG